GTTGCTTTCAGGTGTTGCGATAACAACAATGCAGCTGTAAAAGTGTTTGTTCATGTGTTCTGATGCACATCAGAACATACTTCTTTGGAGCAGCAGTTTCCTTCCACACTGGATGTGGATGTCCAGATGTATATGGATCTCCTTCTAAGCTCTACATGGTCTCCACTGATCTGTACGTGTAGCTCTGTGCAAATATCTAATACCAAATTGTCGTCATTTCTAGTTTTATAACAGGTCCTAGCTTCTGAAAGAACAATCCACCTTATCTTTTTTTCTCCTTATCTTCCAAATGTGCCTTATTTTTCTGTGAATTCTGAGTTTTAAAAACCCATTGTCGGGGTGCCTGGGTGGCTCAGTCGTTAAGCGTCTGCCTTCGGCTCAGGTCATGATCCTGGAGTCCTGGGATCGAGTCCCACATTGGGCTCCCAGCTCAGCAGGAGGCCTGCTTCTCCCTCTACCACTCCCGCTGCTTGTGTTCCTGCTCTCGCTATCTCTGTCTCTGTCAAATAAATAAATAAAATCTTAATAAATAAATAAATAAATAAATAAAAACCCACTGTCAAGTTCAACAACAGTAACAAAAATCAGAAAAATGAAAACTTAAAAGTATTTCAGCACTCAGAAGACTTTTTCTCTTAAAACTACCAACTATACCAGAATTTACTTTTAAACTGTGTTATGTGTACAAAATTATTTTTTCTTTTAGATAATAAAAAAACATTATCAAGATATGGATTATCCTTACATGCCAGCCCTATTTCACCACCCTGCTTGGTTTGTCTTGTCTGAATATTTGTTTTTAAGACAGTCATTGTGGTAAATTCCGTTTGGAAAAATAAATTCCAAGGTTTAATATGCCCACAAATATTTCTATTGCTTTTTCTTTCAAACGGCATATTGGCTGAGGATATATTTTTAAAAAATTTCTGCTTATTTACTACTTAGCCCATTCTATCCTTTTTAAATTAAAAAAATTTTCAATTAATTTATTTTAATTCCAGTATAATTAAGGTACAGTGTTATAATAGTTTCAGGTGTACAATATAGTGATTCAACAATTCTACACATTACTCAGTGCTCACAACTGTACTCTTAATCTCCATCACCTATTTCACCCATCCCTCACCCACCTCCCCTCTGGTAACCACCAGTCTGTTCTCTATACTTAAACGTCTGTCTTTTTTTGTTTGTTTCTTAAATTCCACGTGAGTGAAATCATATTTGTCTTTCTCTGACTTATTTCACCTAACATTATACCCTCTAGATACATCCATGCTGTTGCAAATGGGACGAATTCATTCTTTTTTATGGCTGAGTAATATTCCAGTATGTGTACATTTTCATACAAACACACACACATCTTTATCCATTCATCTAGACACTTGGGTTGTTTCCGTATCTTAGCTATTGTAAATAATGCTACAATAAACAGGGTGCATGTATCTTTTCAAATTACTGTTTTCGTATTCTTTGGGTAAATACTCAGTAGTGGAATTACTGGATCATATGGCAATTCTATTTTTAATTTTTTGAGGAATCTTCAAACTGTTTTCCACAATGGCTGAACCAGTTTGCATTCTCACCAACAGGGCATAACGGTTCCCTTTTCCTCCACATCCTTGCCAATACTTGTTTTCCGTGTTTTTTATTTTAACCATTATGACAGGTGTGAGGTGATACTCATTGTGGTTTTGATTCACATTTCTCTGATGATTAGTGATGTTGAGCATCTTTTCATGTGTCTGTTGGCTGGCTGAGGATATTCTTGGTATACGTAATTTTTACTTCAATACTTTTTTTTAAAAGATTTTATTTATTTGAGAGAGAGAGAATGAGAGAGAGCACATGAGAGGGGGGAGGGCCAGAGGGAGAAGCAGACTCCCTGCCGAGCAGGGA